GCACACCTGCAGTTAGCTGAGAGGGTGCGAGAAAAGGTCATTACATCAAGTTGCTCTCACTGTAGTCATGGTTACCTTTATATCACAGGAGTTCTGGGCAGACGTGTGATTGTCCCCCCTGGTCACTTGTGACATGCTCTCTGAAATAAGCACACACAGAGAAAGAGCGAGAGGACGGCGGTAAGAGGAGCAGATAAAAGCGGCGCGCACAGATGTTGATGACGGTGACCTGACTCTGACAGCACAGCAGTATCACCACTTCATGTTGACAGCGAAGGCAGCGTGATCTAAGTGATGTCTCGGGTGTGATAATATCTATCTGCAAATGACATCTATTGTGTCATGCAGATCTGATATTGACTGCCTGCTGTTCCTGGTGTCTGATGATGAAATTACCGAGCGCTCTACCTCAGACCACACCGTGCGATCGACGTGACCTGCAGTACTTTGTATTTATCTGCTTGTGTTATGGCTAGAGGACCGTCTGACTCGACTGCTGAGCAGGACTAAAATTGATTTCCCTGCCCTTAATTCCACTGGTTATTTAACGCCATTCTGTGAGACTCCATGGGAAGAGTGACTTACACTGCCTTTGGCCTTATTTGGGAATTGTGTCAGTGTACTGTGGGAGTATCTACAGCTACACCTTGCACGAGTTTCAAACGTAAAATCAACCTATTAGTGCTGGTATTGTGAAATGTTTGGGAGCTTAAGCTTTTTTGTGTTTTTGTGTTCTAGTTTTTCTTTTGCTTGACAGGACAGAAAGGCCTCTGGTAGCAACCTGAAGCTACTTCCTCACATTTCTAGCCCAGAGACGCTAAAATGCAGCGACATATTTTCTGTCTTCTCACTATTTACTTTGTCCTGACGTTATTTGGCTTGACTGAGTCAGAGCACTGACATTATATTTAACTCTGGCCTTTCACATCAGTAGTGGATCAATCTACATACTTTGCAGTCAGTCCCGAAATGACAGCGTCACCACGTATCACTTTAACCCCTTTAGGATATTTGTTAATGCAAAATATGCATTTATTAGAAGAAATCTCTCTTGCATTTACTTCATTTGAGTTTATATTGAGAAAAGACCTGTTTTGCTGACAGTAAAGATTGGCTTCACTCCTGGAAACTTGTGTTTGGCTTTATTTATTTTGTGTAAATCTGTCATTTTTCTGGTCGGACCATATTGAAATTTTCTTCACCAAAGAGTTTGAATAAATACTAAAATCTTTGCTCCCAGTTTGCTATTTTTCTCTCGTAGGTAAAACATTTTAACTTAAGCCTAGAGCAATCTATTATAAAAAGGACTACCCACATACTACACTTGCCAAATTGAACTAATATTGACTGGCCTCAAATCCTCAACTCCACTGAGCATTTCAGCAACATGTGCTCATACACTTAGACTCCAAAACTTGTCTAACTGACCAAGTCTCACAATCTTATATCCACCCAAAAAGTCTTTTTGATTTTGTTTTGAGAGTGAAATACTAAGCAAGAGCACAACGAATAAGATCTTCTTTTGAGAATATATGTCTGTTATTTCTTATTTAGTTTATAAACCCTAAAACTAGTTACTTTCTCTGCATATTAGGCTCATTTATATCACCAAGACACTATTTGAGATGATATTGTTTCTTAGACGTCCCAAAACGTTGATTCTTTTTATCTGGATGTAGCGTTTACGTAGAGAAACGTTTCGTTACTCAAGTGACTTCAGTGTCAGCTGACTGCAGGTTTCCCCAACTTTATAAACAGTACAATGATTGAAACTAGCACCACTGAATGAACATTGGGCTGTGAGGTCAGTTCCTCGATCATTAATATGCACATTTTCATGACCATTGATCAACAACCACTGATGAAAGCCCATTGATCAATGGTCTTTGATCAATGGCCATGAGTACCATTCACAGAGAGTTGGGGAATGGCTGCGATCACAGCACTGTATCTTAAAAGCATTTTTTAGCTGTGAAATCATTTTACAAGCCCTCCCAGTAACAGTTCACACACTTTTGTTGTACAAACCCTAACAGCATGAAGGTGCTGGTATCCTGTGGGCTCTCCCCCCACAGTCCAAAGTTATTCAAGTTAAGTTAATTGGTGATTCGAAATTGATCATGGTTGTTAGTCCTATGACAGACTATTGACCAGAAGAAGCATCTTGTTCAGTTGCTCTTGTTTTAAGATCTTTTCTCTCAAAGTGAGAATGAAGCAATGCCAAAGGTTTATGAAGTACTTGTTATGAGTGTGTCAACACTTCTTTTAAGAGATTTCTCACTTGACTAAAGTTTTGACATTTTTTTGTCTCATTTCAAGAAATCTTACCAAGTGTTATTTTATTATTTTACTTGATTATGGTCTGGATCTTCTCAAATTACATATTTTTCCTTATATTTAGCCAATTTTTGCAGTGTATTTAGTAGGGGTGCAACATAGACAAAATTCACGGTTCGGTT